TACATGTTTCTACTTTTTCAGAAGAATAAACATGTCGGACGTTAGAAACTCCATTTGCTCTAACCTATTGTAATTTTTAAAAAACAGAAAAAAGAACCAGAAAACGAAACAAGGCGTAAAATTAGCCAAGCAACACAAAAAGTAAACAAATGCGTAAAAGCGACACTAGCGCTAACTTCAAGTTCTAATTTTTTTTTCGAAAACCCGACACATTTACACATTATTATTTTGTAGAATTTTTGAAATGTGTAGAAGCGGCTTTAAAGAAGTTAACATATTAAGAAGGAATAGTAACAGAGGGCAAGGACACGTGGCCCCTATTTCCTGCCTGCCCTAACCGTTTCCTTGAAGGAGCAAGAAAAAACTCAGTCTCAGGGAAGAAGAAACGGGAAAAAATCACCTAATTATGAATTCTACTGCTCTTTCAGAGGAGGATAAACAGAAACTTAAGTGTAGTCCTTAAAATATATATATTTAATTTTTATCATGATTTTTTTTTATGGTTATATGAAAAAAAAAAATAGGTATGAATTATATTCCATCATTAACAGCATATGTTACATAATTGATAAAGAAAGCCGAAACAATCCTCGAAAAACTGAAGCAGAAGCTGACAAGGATATTATAAATGGCGGACGGAGAAGGAATATTAAACAGGATATAATGCAAACCGTTAGTCAGCCGCTATCAAAGGGACCCTTGCACTAACAGGACAACCCTGAGTTGATGGAATCATCTACAAGTTTAATGAAAAGTTTCGAAAACTTAAATCCTATATATTAAAGCTGTGTGACATAATCTATAGTATGAATTTCTATTTAGATATTTTACAGTGATATCATATATTATAGCACTAGGAAATAATGAACTTCCAATAAAGTTTGAATGAACTTCAATGACCCTCCAACTTTAAAAAAGTCTTTTAACAACATAAGCTCGATTTTACTAGACAAACACTATAAGTTCCCACTTAATTACAAAAGACTCATGATAAGGCTTACTTGGATTTAAGAGTTATCCAATACTTACGATACATAATGCTTCCTAAAATCCTCAATGCTTTTTATTTAATCATAAATAAAATTACCCCTAATGACCATAATGTTCAATATGTTTCCGATTCGGCCCAATTCAGATAACTATCCTTCCATAATTTTATTTTTATTTTATTGTGTATTAATACAGTCTGCCACACTGAAGGACATTATTACTAGAGCTATAGTATTCATTCACACAATATGTACATAAGAAAGGAAAATAACCAAGTAAGAAGAGAAAGGAAAAAAAAAAAAAAGATATGTATATAAATAAAAAGATAAAATAATATACAAGATAAGTAAAATAACAGATTAAAGCCGAATGATAATAAAATAAATAAAACACATTCACACCTATGTACAATATTTACATTGGCCCAGGGGACTCTGAATCAAGCTTTGTCCCCCAATAGCGGAAGCCAGAGTAGGACTCCAGGAGATCGCAGAGCTTCTCTCTCAGAAGCGTCACTGATATAGTGAGCCAGCTTTCCATAATAAACTTCAAAATCCAAATCCTCTCGGCTCAAAGGCTTCAAATTAAATTCCTTACAATCCTCTAAAAATGAAAAGAAGATGGACTCGGGACCTATTGATATACAATCAAACAAAATTGACAGGATTCACAGTCAAGAATTTTTATTACGTTAACCGAACTGAGTTCTTGTCCCGACTTCCAAAAGATAGCCCAGAGTATGACACACATGTTAAGGTCGAAACGTCGGCTAACCTAATAAAAATTCTTGACTGTAAATCCTGACAATCCTAATAATTGATCAGTCGACTAATTACTCATCTCTATTAGATTGCTAATAATATGTAATTTTTCTACAAGTCTTTTCATGCTATTATGTTACTTTTTTCACATATATTGATTTTATTTTTATTACAAATTAATTAAACTACTCTTTTATTAATCGATATTTTTAATTTCTATAGTTTTTGTGGAGATATAAGAAATAATGACATGACAGTACGATCAATAAGAACAGTAATAAGCAGCACCTCTTCCCTGACTTGTTTCAATTACTTCTGTTGTTTAAAAAAGATCTCTCATCCAACGCCTTTTTAGTCTCCTCCTCATGTTCTAGGGTATGTCAGCTGTGGCCATGTCTCTTATTAGCCTGTTATTATGTCCATTTAAATTAATATAAAATCGTTGGTAAAAGTTCGTTATATGTTGGTCAACTGTTAGAAGATGGAGATCAGTATGCAGAGTTAATTTGCATTTACTTTTTGATATTAACACTTATTTTTTTTAGAACTATTACTCTTTTTTATATTTCTAGATAAATAAAATATGTATGGTCAATAACCAAATCAATAATTGTAATTTGGAATTTTTTTTAACAGAACAGAAGGATATTGTACTCTGATACTATAGAATATTTTAAAAATAAAAGATAACGAGCAGCATATAGTAATACTTAAAAAATGTCAATAGGCAATTAATATGATATAGTTAAGAGGACCGTTAGAGCTGGCAAACATTAGGACATATGGCACTCAGGAGTAAAAGACTGCTATCACATGACTAATAGCTCTTTGTCTGTATGTTATTTGCATAATAATAATGATATCGCCTAAGCCGGTAAAGGAATCGATAAATCCTGTCGGGTATTTATAGGTTGGCAACCCTTGCAGCGAGCCATCCATCAAACGTTACTAATAGGCCATTGTTATCCGGCGACAACCCGCACTCCACTTTCTTTCTTTATTTACATTCACTTCTTTCTTCTTGCGGCCAGGACACTAGCTTAATTTGTCCTTCTGTCTCCTCCTTGCATCTAGATATCCTCGAGTAATTGCCTGCACTCTCGGTTGCTGCAAGGGTTAGAAAAAAAAGAAATCGATTCAAGGCTCGAGGATTGCGAAACTAAAATACGGGATACAACTGTTATAGATTACAAATTAATCCAAGGTCATTTTAAATAAAATCAAACAATAAAAAAAAAGGTTTTTCTAAATGAGTGAAACTTGATATTTAGGTATAAAGCCTCATACCAGACTGAAACGACAAGAAACTGCTCGACAATTCCGATTGCTTTAGCACTTACTAGACAAACGCTGTAAACTTCCAATTAATTACAAAAGACTTATACATGACTATAATAGAGTCTTATTTGGACATACTGAGTTGAGATATGGGGCTCCACTAAACCATCGAATTCCTATTGTATCCAATCCTTACAATCCAAAATCCTTCATAAAATACTCAATACTCCCTACATTGTTATAAATAAAACCAACCATAATGTTCTTATGTTTCAGATCCTGCCCAATCCAGATACCTATCCTTCCATAATAAACTTCAGAATCATCCCAACCCTCTCGTTTCTAACCTTGCTTCCTCTTCAATTCCTGATAACCCTCCGAGGCGTCTGAAAATAAAATTGCCCCGTGATCTCCTAATGTAGGCATATCATTAGGGTGCTACCATTGGGTAGTTTCTCAACAAGTGTTTTCACGACACACCGTCCACATCTTTAATACAGTTGTAAATATCATAAAAAAAAAAAAACAACCAAGAAATACATTTAACTTTTTTTTTTACCCCTTTTCAGATTCCCGGAGCAATGAATTTTGATGAATGAGATATAATGAGAAAAAGAGTGGACGAAGCGAAGCCTGAAGAATTTTAAGGAATTTGCAATATCAAACATTTTCTCTAGCAACAAAATCCGAGACTCAGCGTCTTATAAAAAAACTTTTATGATAATTTTCTTAATTTCGTTTTGTTTCCGATTTGTTTATATTTAACTGATGATAGATATATTTTCTTTAAATTGAGCAATTTTTCCATCATTTTAAATTTAACCTTGGGTAATCCGAACAGACGATGCTAACTACGTGTTCGGATTATCACTAAATGAAAAGCAACAAAATCACATTTTTTTTATATATATAAAGATCTATATTATATTTTTTTTGTGAATTTATCACACTGCGTATTCTAAAAAAAAATCCTAGATTCCTGGGACTACAAGTTCCCAGACAATTAGTTGATTTGACTCACTTATTAAGTTATTGGTTTAATAAATCTTTATTCGCGTGATTCTGGTGGGAGTTCATCTAGATAGTATTTTGAAATGTAATTTTTTAAATACAGGAAATTAATTATTCATGATATATAATTCAGAAAATAATTATAAAAATTTATTTATCTGTCCAACGGACTCTTTGCCCATCTTCATAGAAATTTCTTTCTAATATTTCTCTATTACCTCACATTATTCTAACGCATGTTTGTAAACATTTGTCTTCTTTCTATATTTCATTTAATAATTTTATACACCACTTGCTTAATTTCCATCGTCACATTGCTAATTATTTAACCGTTATGTATAACATTATTAAATGATATATAGAAAGGAGACAAATATTTACTAACATGCATTAGAAGAATAAGAGATAAAAGAAAAACATTAAAAAGTGAAAGAAATGTCTCTGAAGATGGGCAAAGAGTTTAAAACGTTGGACAGATAAATAAATGACATATACGGAAGAGATAAATTTTCATACATTATATCTAAAATAACATTGAACTATTTTTTAAGTAAATTACTGATCATCAAGTAATATAAGATTAAAAATGTATGCATGGTATTTACTTCTTACATGTTTTCAACTTATTTAAATCCTAATAAATAATAAATTTATATATATATATAAAGATATTCCAATGAACTAACAAGTGTTTATATGTATTTCAAGAGCCCTTACAGAATTGTTTTGATTTATTAAAAGATAATAAACAATAATACAAGAGGAGTTAATGGACTAAGAAGAACCCTCCCACGGTCTGAAAACATATCCTACATCGCAGGCATAATGTAGATCCTAGGAGGACAAGTGGCCGTGCACTTGTGGCGCAGGACAAAGAGAAATAAATAAAACAAGAGCGATAAGGACGAGGAAGGATGATAAACAGGCAGAAGGAGAGATACCAGATAAGGATAAACATTACTAAGGGCGAAGGGCATAAGTGTCCTGCTGCTTTTTGTTCTTCAAAGGACCTCTGCCGGCCCTGATTATAGCTGAGGTGTATCGTGGGAGATGGACACTTATTGAAGGGTCATCGATGTCCACTTCTTCTCCAATTGGAGGCTATGTAGCATTGGAATCACTGTCTAAAACGGGTACTCACTCCAGGAAAATCTTAAATTGATTTTTGAATTGAATTTGATAATTGAATATTTTCCAGGTAAATTACGAAAGTATATGTAATTCTAAGTAAAAATAACATTGTCTGCAATTCTAGCACCGCTAATTTAAAGAAACGAATATAATGTTATTTTTTTTAACTTGAAGTTATATATGAAATGAAAAAATGATTTTATTCTGGGACTAAAGTCCTCTAAGAATAATAGTGTTACAAATTTTTGTCTTAAGTCTGGCTTAGAAGATTACAAAATACAAACTAATTAAATGTTGATAGTTATTGCAATTGTACAGTTGATTAAATTAAACAGTAAACAAACGCAAGTAATTTTACAATTTGTTACGAGAAAGTGACGGAGGGGAGGTAAGAAAGGAGTTCTAAAAGGATCTAGCACGAATGACGAAGGATTTGCTGAAGGAAATAGTTTTATGGGAAGGGATATATAAATCTACAGGTTAAGACCTGGTATTAATAGAGTGGCTAGAGGAACGTAGAGTAAGGAGTTCCAGGATGTTTTTGATTCTGAGGACTTGGAAAAAGAAAAAAACAAGGAGGAATTGTCGTCGGGAAGTAGGATAAAGCCACTTCAACTCGGTGTACCAAAATGAAACATCAGAACGTCTGGGGATCCCCAAGAATATATATATATATATAGATATATGAGTCTTCAAACATGTAAAAACAAAAAACGGTAACGAAAGTACTTTTTCACGGCCAATAAATCTTTTTTGACTATCTGGCTAGACATTTTTGTTTCTTACATGTTTTAAACCTCAATTACTAGTTAGAAATTAATATTCTTAAATCAGCCTTCATTTTTAAAAGCAGCGGCTATGGAAGGGTGGATCAGATTCATTTTTAGAATAACATACAGTTTCGTTATTCATATTCAAATCTGCTCCTAGAACGAGTACTCTTTTTTGACGCTGACTCCAGATGGGAAAGGATTATTTCGATACTGACACAAGAGGATACAAGGCAGTTCCACTAAATCGGATTGGGCAGTTTAGAAGAGAAATGATGGGGCAAGACGACGAAGGCGCGGAATAGCAATTGGTTGCTGACACTCCTACTCATTGTGGCCATTAACCTGTCCCGGATGATGTAGCTCCGGATGGAAACGTGTCTTGACGCAACCGCAGCATCGTAGTGCTGCGATATCGAAGTTAATCGCCGTGCCAGAGTATTTAGAAAGGAATGGAACAATGGCCATATAAACAATATTAAAAAAAAAATAATATGATGTCATAAGAAGACAAGTTTACTACCAATTAAAAAAAAAATTAAAACACATGACAAAGATAAAAAAAATCAAAATCAAAATCAAGACATGACAGTAAAGGCAGAATTAATTGTTCCCAGTAAAGGAAGATAAGATGGTGGAAGTGGCTGGGAACTAGGAAGATATGTGAAACATGTGCGTACCACACATCTGGGTCCCTTCCCTTGTGTTCCAGGATATATTAACTCATTCAAGGATATTTATCATAGTGCAGGTCCTCTCAGGATAAGAGGATATCAAAGGAATAAAGATTTTTACCTTCCAATGCATACAAAGTTCTATTCTTTTTTCCGAAAAGTCCTTAAATATTACATAAAAATCAATCATTGAGTTGTCATTTTGAAAATTATCTAATCCAATAACGTAAAAAAAAATGTATTTGCACATAACAGTAAAATCTGCGTACCTGTCCTAATAAATATATTTAGTGAATTTAAAAATGAAAGAAGTGAATGTTTGAATTGGTATTTTGGCATGGACAGACTTGAAACTACCTATTAGAAGCACTACAATAATAGTTCTATATTAAAAATTTTCGAAGTACTCTTATTCCCAGGTGTCTGGGATAGGAGGATTGTCAGGAATCGAAGAGGATGCAAAATCAGAACTAATGGGTTTGGATGAGCCTAATGTTTATTATGGAAAGATATAGGTATCTTGATAGAGCTGAATAGGCAACAAATGGCACATCAAGAGCATTGATAATTTTACGAAGGCCTCATAATTGTTGTAATGAGTTAACATATGAGAGGAGTCTCGTGGTTAATTTGAGCCCTGAAGTTCAACTCCGTAAGTCCAAATAGGCATTATAACATATAATAGTCAAGGTTTTAATCACGAATACAAAATATTTACATCTGCTTTTTATTTTACTTTTTTCGCAGGGTCATGTTAATATTTTTTGTATGGTTCCAATTTTAGTATACCGCCGAAGCGAGTGAACAAGTATATGGCTTAAGTGTTTTAGCACTAGCGACGCCGTTGAAAGAGTAGCGCAGGGATCTCTTGGAGTCCTGCTTTTCCCTCCACAATTCCCTCACAATGGAACAAGCCAGCCACGGAATTCTCTCACCTGATTGAAAATACTTTTATAGGAATGTCAGTATTTTTTTTGTTTTTCGAATTTATTTATTTTTAAGTTATTTTATTTTTATATATTGAAAATATACAAGTATATTATACTTTTTATTATTATTTAGTCATTATTTTGCTTTCGTTTTTTCTTTTTGATATTGTAATTTTTACATTCGTTACTTTAATATTGTGCCAATAATATCATACCTAATCTAACAGACAAATTGCTCACTCAGATAAGACGCACAGAATTCAGGACAGAAGACTGGACTGACACCACCCCCCGCGCAGAAGAGGTAGAAGATCGGGACCGTAGATGGGAGAGAGGACATTCCACTCATTATGTCCTTATCCAGAGGGTCCTTATACAGTAATTACACAAGGAGGGGACAATAAATCCCTTCCAACAAGATGGCCGCCCGTACCTTTAAGGATCATCGGCGGTGTCTTTGTGCCGGCTCCTGAGGAAAGGATATTGGTACAATCCTCAGCCATTCATTCATTATTAGTAGCACCTCTTGTAGATTGTGCATGTCGTATCTTGTTAATTATGTCTCGGTCAAAAACAAGTTTATGTTTCTATTCTGAGTAGTGGTAATCAAATGCAACTAGGGATTGTAACTTTTATGAAAATTTTTGTAGAAGGTTCCGTTTTAACAGTTTTTCAAACTTAAGTTTCTGTGAATCGTTTTAGGAATAATAATTTTAAAATAAAAGTTCTAAGGAGCTTTTATGTAATAAAGTGTTAAAGTTTATGGTGAAAGATAACATTTGTTTGTTTAATATTAGAGTTAAAATTTACCATAAATAAATTACTTGATTCTAATGTGTGGTTTATTTGAGTAGCTAAGAGTAAAAATCGTTTTAGATCGAATTTTTAGTGAAATCGACAAAACGATAGATATATAGATAGATTCCCGCAGTAGCGAAACTTATTTTTTTTTTAAATCTTGTTCATTGAAAAATATTACATACTATCTCAATCAAGAACAATTATAGTAGAGAAACAATTATAATTATGGCCATATAATTGAAATAATTAATTATAAAAGTTAAAATTTGATTCAAGCCCCGATTATAACAAAGAGATATAAGAATCGTAGGTTTGTTAGTATATAAATTCTTTACTGATTAGTTTCTATAATTTTTTGGAATAAATTATGCAAATCCTCGCATTATCTTTCGGCTCCTATTTATCTGAATTTTATCCTGATTCTCCTAATTTCGTCTTTTGTAATTCAACGAATATTAAATAAAAAAAAAGAATTTTTATTTTAATCACTGCCAAGATATATCATAATTTATATCCATGTGTAGAAAAAAAATGTGTTTGCCTCTTAAGATATTGTTTAAAATTAGGTATATCAAAGATTAATTGAAACATATTGGTTTATATTATGATTATGCCTATATATAATATGTTAATTAGGTAAATTTAATTGTAATTATGTAATGAATAACACCCGGTTGATAGTATAGTAGACTATTACTAATGATATACAAGGATCGGTTTCTTCTTGTTGGTTGAGGATGACGCAGAGATGGTGGGAGGACCCCGAAGAACAATGACTGGAGTCCCACGACCCCAGCACGTTCTCCAGGAGAGAAGATATAATATCCTTTGAGCGGTGGGAGGCGGCCATTTTCGATTCTCCACGGCCCAGCAACATTTGCATGGCCAGCCAAGGATCGGCTATGGGAAGGCAACAACCAACCTCCTGGTTTTTGCTCTCCTGTCTTCGGTTCCTCATCAATTGGATTTACTTCTTTAATAGCTTCTGTCTTCCTTCTTTGATAGCTCAATTCGGCGTTAAAGTCTTTTTCATTTATATTTATAATTTCGAGCCAATAACACTAAATAAACGAGAGGAAAAAAATCGAGAATCGTTGATAGTAGAAAACAAATAAACAAAATAAATAATATTTGTAATTTTTTTCAAATTTTAGTAAGGCTAGGAATAGATCTCTTATTTACCAAATTGAATTAATTCTAACTATGTTTCCCAACGTTTAATAACTAAATAATTAAGAGGTTATAACCATAAATCCGATCTTTATGCTAATTCTGTTACCGGTTAAAATATATATTAATGAGTTAAAAGTATAATTTATTCGTTTTTCGGTTCCCATGAAAAAAAAAAAAGATTTTAAAAAGGTCACATTCCTTTGCTAACGAACCATATGGGATGATTATTGGTGAATATATATATATTCAAGATGTACTTCTGTCCCGATCCTCCTCAAAAAAACAACAATTTTTCACAAAATATAATTTTTAATTTATATAAGATTTTTTCTAACTTTTCACCTCAATCAATTAGTAGCTGATAGAATTACAGTGGCATAAGTGATTGAATTAATGTATAAATGTTGTTAAATTTATGTTTTTACTATTTTTACAATTTTAAGCATGTTAAGAAATTCTGGTTTTGAGTGTTTTTGACGTTTCGCCCATATATATCCATATATTTGCTGACAAGTTGTAAGTTTAATTTGTAAATAACATTTTTCTTGTCTAATGCCTCTATTTTATCTTTTGTATTTTTTAAGTATTTTTGCGATTTTTTATTGTTATACATGCCAAATTGGATCTCTGGTAAGTCATATTTTATGAAAACATTTTGGATTTGGCTGGTATTTATGTTAAGAGTGATAAGAGCGGTGGGATCTCTGTATTTATGTAATACTATTAATACATATCCACTGGCTTGCAATACCAGTGACGCAGCTGGGAGAGGAGCACTGGGATCTCCTGGGGTCCTGCCTTGGCTTCCACATTTGGGGGACAAAGCATGACTCAGAATCCCCCGGGCGAATGTAAATATCGTATATAGGTGTAGATCTGTTTTATATATTTCAATTTCATTTAGTTAATCTCTAATTTTTTTTTACCTATGTAAGTTAATTTTCTTATTTTACTTTCTACAACTCTTTTTCTTTTATCTCGATTTTAGCTACCATTTGTATGTATTTATTGTGTGAATGTTTAATGTAGCCCTAATATTAATGCCCTCCAATGCAACAGAATGTATTAACTGTCAAATAAAAAATAAAAAATACATACAACATTAATAATATAATTTTAAGATATTGAAATTAACAGTCTAAATCTAAGTCAGCGTTGATAATTTGTCAAAAGCTACCTTTGACCTATAAAATTTGAATCCTTGAAAGTTGTGTTTCGATATTTTTACGAATCATACTAACCCAAAGTGGTATCGATAACTTTTGACCTCGGTATATCGATTGTTGCCAGGGCTCGGAGAGGCAAGATCGTGTGTGCCCGGGGCAGCGGCGGCTCGGGTGGGAACGAACCGTGGGCTGTGGTTAAGGTCAGGTGGGAAAAGGCGAAAACCTCTATTACTTTCTGTGGTGTTTTTATTTACACCGTGAAATCGTCAATACTGTAGAGTTGTAGAGAGGGGGAGGAAAGGGGGGAGGGGGTACTGTTGTAGAGATTATGCAGCAACACTGCCTAGATCGTGGCGGCCGTGGTTTAATTACCGATCCCAGTGAATGGTCTTCTCTGTCCAGGTTTTGTTCTCGGGAATGTGAGGGGAACCTATGAAAGGAAGGCAGTATGAATTAAGAGGTAGAATTAGCATTCAGGCATTCCAGAGTCGAGTCCTTCAGACTGCATCGAAAGCTTTGTCGAAGTCTAAACTAGTAAGAATTTTGTATAAAAACAATTTAAATAAATACTGAAATAAACCTAATTTTAACATTTTAATGTTCGGATGTTCTTTGTAAGAACTGGCTTTAGCACCACTGAAGCGGTTGAGAGAGTAGCCTTGCGTCAGCTCTTGGAGTCCTGCTTTTCCTTCTATAGTTGGAAGGAGAAGGCTGGCTTGGGGTTCCCTGTCAAATTTTATAAATAGAATATAGATATGAGTGTGTTTTTATGTTTTTTAATTTACTTTACTATAGGTTATTTAATTTTTTTATTGTACATAGCTTTTGAATATTATTTTACTTTTGTTAATTTTATATTTTTTGTATGTATGGTGTGAATGTGTTCATATATCGCTATAATCTATTGTCCATGTGACAAATTGTTATAATTCTAAATAGATAAACTTAAAAAAAAATCGATTTGAAAGCAGTAAAATATTTTTTTTGTTTCATTAAATAAATTCTAGTGTGGAATGAAATAAAATAAGAAAAATAAATAAAAAACAATGAAGAATATGGTGTTGGTTTATTTTTTCTAAGATACCTTTCAATTTGATTATTCCTTTTTTTTTTTGTCAAGATGAGAACAAATACAATCGACTTTCGGTTCTACAAAAAACTTTGAATCATCTTCGAACTATCAAGAAGAAAGAAAAATGTTCGAGTTATTAAGAGTTTTTATTATATTTTTGAAAATATGCATAAATGTTACATGAATTTTATACATAAATAGCCTCATGTAAAAGATATTACTAAAAAAATTTCGAATTATAAAGGGGGGAAACTGATCTAGTTGGAATTATAGAACGATCTTTCACTCTCTTGTTACGAAAAGTATTTCGATTTATCGACCTATCAAAAACACATTTTTTTAGATTTAGAGAAGTAGCTGAAAGACGTTAAGGTTATAATTAGAAGGTAACTATCGAACTTCAAATTATCGATAGTCGACTGTATATAATATTAACATCGTCAATATATTGCAAAAGTCACCTAAGTTTATTTTTGAAGGAGCTGTTTAATAATAATACAATATAATATTTAAGAATGTTTTTGTAAATATATATATATTGAAATGCATCAAACATAGTTACAATAAGCGCACAAATTTCTGATATCACAAAGGGGGAATCGTTAATGACTTGAGATTATGAAATATAACTTGCTCTCGCTCAAATATAATGAAATTCTCGCCTCAGGAATTTGAAATTTTAAATAATTATAGCCATTAAATGAAGCAATGGAGTTAGATATTGAGCTGTTTCGGTGCGACCGTGCAAGAGAAAGGAGTGCAATTTTATTTTATTGCATTGTTTTTAAAATATTTGCCTTTACTTATTGTGTCTGTAATTAGCCAAGCCTGTAAATTCCTTTCCAATTTTCTACTTATGTTGCCCATTCCTTATTCTTCGTATTTTATATCATGTCGTACTTTTTTTATTTTTCTCCTTTCTATTAAGGTATTAATTTCTCTTATTTTTTAATAGCCCTTTTTCAATTACATGCAATGCTACAGTAATATCATTTACTGATGTAATCTTTTTTTTTTAAATATATCATTAGATTGTTCTTAACGTTAAACCTTTTATCTTTTTTATAAATATTTATAGCACGCTTCCAATTTCTGCTCATCTGAGATTTTTTTTTATAATCGTTATTGTGACCATGAAAAAAAAAGTCTAGAGATTACCGATATTACCGAGGGTGAACATCCTAAGGAGCCCCAGGGAATCTGTGGTTTATTTTTTATCCTTTGTCCTTCGTCCTGGGCCGCAGGACCTTTCGCCCTGATTATAGTGTAGGTGCCAGGACGACTTATGGCTGTGTCATGAGGTAGTTAGTTACCTTGCTGTAATGGAGCCTACTTCAGTCTGTCTGGTCTCCTAGCAATAAAGTCATTAATGGTTTCATGGTGTCCAAGAGTAAGTACTGATTGCATTCTTTTTTCAATATTATTATATTATTCAAGAATATTATATGAATATTATTATATTCACCTAAAAATTCGTAATGACATCATCGTAAAATTGTTTAAAAAATTGTAATATTTCGTTGTTGATTTTTCAATGTATTATTTGTGCAGACTAATTTACATCTTATCCACGACCTTTCCTTCTCTCTTATATGTTAAATAATATATATTTTCTTTGGGTCTTATTTATTTCTACAAATCCATCCTCTACAGTAAAAAAAAAAATATATATATTTACTGACAATAATATTTAACACTAAAATTACTAACCAGGGCTTGAAATAAATATGGACAAGAAAAAATATACAGTTAGCTACAAAAACAATGGTTATATATAGATATAGAAGGAAATTTGTTTGAACACCTAGACAATTTTATGTATCTAAGGTCTACGGTAACTAAGAAAAACAAAAAAGGAACTAAGATTAGGCTGGAAGCTGGAAACGCCTGTTATTTTTCTTTGTGAAGAGCTGAAAATTAGAATTTACAAAACCAATATCCTTCTTCTTTAAAGATGAAAAACGTGGCCGCTCTCATTAAGGGATGAGCAACGTCTCACAGTTTTTGAAATAAAGTATTGCGCCGAATATTCATACCGAATAAGGATGAGCCGAAGAATTTAGGCGGTTACACAACGCTGAATCGCGCTAACTGTATCCGGCTGATATAATTGAAATGATTAAGTTGAGCCAAATAAAATGGGCATGTGCCAACTGGCAAGCGCCCGAGGGGTAGACCAAACCGAAGGTGGGAAGATTGCGTTAAGGCTGATTTTGCGGGGTTGGGTTTTGAAGGCGCCCATAGATGGAAGAATGTGAACATAGATTCGTGATATCGGCACCGAACCTTCCGTTTTGCTAAGCCTTATTATTATTATTAAAATTAATAACAGTTGAAGTGTACTTTAACTATTAAGTTGCTACATAATAATAAATTAGATACATAGAAACGAGAAACTATATTGTAATAATAATTCTTAAATCATTTTGATGAATACCAAATAAATTATCAATTATCAATTCAGATTGATGACTGATTTTGATCAAGAATTTAATATGTTATTATTGATATATTGAGTTAATCAAATTTAAATAATAAGTATTCAGA